TCTTCCAGTAAAGCCAATCGACAGCTGGTCAAGAGGAATCCACCGTCGTCTTATGGTGGAACCGACCTTCTAATCACTTCACCCAACACTTCCACTCGAAATGGAAGTAAGCTTAACAATTATGAAACAAGAGATTCCTCGAAACCCAACTTTTCTTCATATAAATTCTTCTTTTACCAGTCCTTTATGACCTTAAACGAAATTAGGTGAATACATCTCATATGGCTGATTTACTGGTAGTCACGAAAACAATATTTAATTTGAAAAATAAAGATTTAATTAGTTTTCTTGCCAACGTTAATATAGGAAATGTCATCTCTAATGATACCGATCACGTGGCATGACAACCGCCATCTTAGCACACTTTCATGAGAACCTCATCAGCATGAACATCCTAGCCGTATTCAAGTGAGATCGGCATGTAAATCACTTAACAACACACGTACACATTAAATATAAATGAGTTTAGCCAATATTTCTAAATAAGCTGTATCATTGTAAGTTCCGGCCAATAGGGAACGATCTTTCCACCAATGTCAACACAACCATCGAAACCGGCATCCTGAAAGTCTAGCATTGACCACTCACCTTCGGTGTTTAAGCTGCCGGATCCCACTGTAGCCGGTTTCGATGCCTTCGGGTCTATCAACACCGACCCAGCAACCTTTCCACCGCTGTAGACGACACTGACACCAGCACTTCCGACAGAGCCAGAACCGTTGCGCAGGTCCGAATTTGTGTAGGTGATCCGCTGCATGGGCAAAAGGGCGATGAAGACGACGGGATCAGGCCAGGCCATTGGATTGCCCGAGAGCGGTCTGTCCAGAAGATAGGATTGACAACCAACGTCAAGCCAAGCAGGCGGCCGATGCTCCGGCTTTGAGGCTGTAGGAAGCGTCAAGTCTCCGAGAACCTGTCTGTTTCACGAGTCGGAGAAAGGGGAATGAGCAGAATGTATGTAGTGAAGAATTACAATCAACTGATGCAAATGACTAGTGGGAAACTGAAGCTTAAATGCGAAGAGAAAACGCGTTTCTATTAATCTCCTGAGATAGCATTGATCTGGAGACTTTCATTTCTTATGAAGGCGAATGATGAAAATGTTATATGAAAATATAACACGACGGTTGATTTACGTTGTTTTGCGGTCGTTTGGATTTGCTATGACACTCAGATTGACGCAATCCAAGAGACATCCTCTCTGGTTTCTGATGAACAGGAGTTGAAATTTCGTTTGTTCTGTAATGAACATTATCAGAGCTGGGACTCATTCTCGCAAGTCAACAAGACTGGCTAGCTCTATCCTACATACTGTCTATACTCATAACGAAAAAAATATATGAATATGAATAGGATTAGAATAGTTTGGTTAATTGTCTTATACGTAAGTGAATCTGTCCATGTGTGTGTGTGTGCTAAGAAAAGAGTTAAAAAAGAGCATAATCACTTTATCGAGTAATGGTAGATATTGTGAGCAGACATCAACACACGGGCACACAGACAGATACACTAAAGTACAAGATAATTAACAAATCCATTCTAAATCTATGCATCGTTATGAGTATAGCTGGCATTTACAATAGAGCCGGCCAATATTGCCGAGTTGCCAGAATGAGTTCCAGCTATGATGGCATTCGTCAAAGAACGACCGAAATCTTAGCAACTGTTCATTCGAAACGAGGTAGAATGTCTCGTGGACTGCGTCAACCTGAAAGTGATAGCAACTCCAAACGACCGCAGAACAAGATGAATTAACCGTCGTCTTCTGGAGAGCTTGGCTTCTGAATAGCTTATCGTGCAATTTTGCAGGAACTGAATGACCCTACAACCAACTTCGAACGAACAAACTCTATTCTACGGACGAGCAGGTGTCTTTGCAAACTTCACACATTTGACGAACATGTTCTGGCAGCACCAGAACCCAAGACACCTATTCTGGGGACAGTCGGTGCGCTTGTCTCAAGCGCAGATTTCCAATTGAGGCTGGAAGATTTTATAACATTGAGGATGTAAATGAAGAGGGCAACACCAACAATCTAAGGCCAAATTATCAACCGGTCTTCATCATGCCAGCCCTTATGCGTGATCAGTCAAAAGATCTGCCCACAAATTCCTAATATACAGCTGACCAAACAGATCGCATTATTGGATAATGCGGATGTAATTCATTGAAAGACTTGGAGATATGATGGCTCTCACAGGTTTTCGATGGCATTCAATAGTAGTGATACAAATAGGCACTATAACCTTTATGACATAAGCGAAGGACAAAGACTCATGAAAGAATTGCATCCACTGGGTGGCTAACAACAAAAGTAGATATTTCCGCTAAAGTAGAAGTGGTCTTTTTTGGGGAGTAGCTGAAACTTTTTTCCAAACTTGAGTGATAATGCTATTTGAACATTTTTAAGTATTACCCTTCGACTGAGTCGTCATAAGTAAAGTGCTTGAACAAGTAACCTTGTCACTGGAGGCTCACATGAGGTCTGGCGGCAAAATGC